CGTCATGGTAGAAGCGCCATTCGTCATAAAGAACCTTTTTCTAATGAATTACTGATGAAATTTTGTTTGTCAAAAATAGAGTGTCACATTGGTTGTGCCTTGACAAACATGAGATATTGGTCATAGAAGTGGCTTGATAAGTGACAAAAAAATGGATGTCATAGAACTACATTAGCATTCCTGGCAAGCGGCAGCCATGCAGGTGGATGACATGGCTGGTTCCATTGGAGATGGACTGACTATAGCATTGGCACGTGACATGGCAGTCGCCATGGCATGTGATCGGTTCATGTCTTACCTTCTTAGTGGACAACATGGCCTTCTCTTGTTCTTGCACATTTCAGGTTTTTATTTGACCACGTGTCATGTCCAGGTTGTTCCACTTGTCAATTTTTAGTTGGCACGAGTTTCATGTTGCTGTTAGTCCACGTGTCAACTTTTCATTGGACCATGTGTCATGTTTTTATTGGCCCATGTGCCATGACCAGGATATCCCACATATTAGTTTTTTGTTCGACCATGCATCACAATGTTGTACGCCTATGTGTTAGCTTTTTAGTGGACCATGTGTTATGCCCTTAACTACTCACGTGTTGTTTTCTAATTCGGTCACATGGCTTGACGAGTTTTTTCAATGTCTTAGATTTTTATTAGCCCATGTGTCATGTCCTGGCTCTTCCACATGTCATGCACTAGTTTGTCCACGTGTCAAATTTTTGTTTGACCACGTGGCCTGTGCTGGTTCTACCACGTGCATAAAAATCATTACATCAGAAAATTAATTCTAGATCATCACTACTGCACAGAATGACTATATAATTACTAAACTTGACAATCAAATAACAACAATTCACAGTTCACACGTCAGCAACAAACCACTGGCAGAGTTCACATATCAAGCCGCTACACCGTTCACCACATCAAGCCAGCACAAGTTCACACATCAAACCACATATGTTCACTGCATCAAGCCCATAGGAGTTCGAGACTAAGAGTTACTAGAGCTGCATGATATGCTCAAGGAGCTTGTTGTTATCCTCCTATTGCTATTTCTTGAACTCCTCAAATTCCCATTCAATCTTTTCTATCTTCCTCTTCAGATGATCCACTTGTTTAATGAGGGCATCGGAACTTTCTTGTTTAGCAACAAGCTATTCCCGAAGTGCTCTCTCTACCAATGTCTCTGTTTTGGTGGAGCTTGTCGGGATATCGACATTCTTCAAAAAATGGGTGTTGCAGCTGCCCTACAAAAAGACCTTGGAAACAACATCAACACTAGGCATTGGTTCCTGCACATTAGCAACAGGTTCTACTCGTATAATTTCCCTAACTTCCTACGAAATTCAAGGAGTGAACATTATGTTACAGATAGTGGAAGAGAACATTAGGTTACAAGTAATGCATAGGTCTTCCTTTAGCCTACTCCTGATAGAGATTACATTAGCACAATGCATAGGTAACATATTGATTGGTGTACACAACTTCTACTTTTCCTTCTTTTATGACAATGGCTTTAGCAGATTTCATGGAAAGCAAATGAAGGTACTTACAATTGCTTCTCTTGCAGCATCGCTTAGGCCTTTTTTCCTACTGGTACGGAAGTCCTTGAAGACTTCCACTACATCAACATCTTAATTACGTCGATCATGTTCTTCACCGAGTTCTTGGTTGTACTATGCGTCGTTCTTGTTGTTCTCCTTCTATTAAAATTGCATGTGTTTCAAAGTTTAGCAACTATAACTTTTTTAAACTTATAGAAATGGTTGGCTCAGTTTCCTAGGCACCTTGCATGCACGCAGCTGCTGCTCACACCAATCTGGTTGGACGACACGCGTAATTGGGCCAGGCGTAGATGCGCGAAAGTGGGCCGGCACGGGCGGAGAAGGGTAAAAGTCGCGTGATGGTTGGTGCCACCCTAGTCAGTGCATAGCACTGCCCCTTTTGCAAAAGCAAAAGCACATTGAAAAGCCCAATAAAGAGGGCCTTATAATGCCAAGCCTATTGTGAAGGTTCATTTTTTGGTTGACCCATTTCATGTTTAAAACCTTTTTCGGCGCATTTATCAATTGTATTAATTTTAGGCCAACCCAACCTACTTAGGCTGAGCCCGCAAAAGTCTTTTGGGCTTGTTCGTCGCAAAAAAAAAGTATTTTGGGCTTGTGCACACAAAATTTCATATATGCATTCCAAACAATAAAATTTCAAAACAAAATCTCCATATTCATGTTAAGCAAATGTTTCCTAACCATTTAAACAATCAATAGTCATGCTGTGCAGCCAAAACAATGGTCACAATTCGACAACCAAGTCAAAACAATTGTCACACACACACACACACACACACACACACACACACACACACACACACACACACACACACACACACACACACACACACACACACACACACACATATATATATATATATATATATATATAATAATAATAATAATAATAATAATAATAATAATAATAAATACATTGGCTGATGCATTAATTTGCATTCATATAGTTCTGGACAAATGTTCCATTGCTTTGGTAACCAACTCTTAGAAAACACTCTAGACTTTGGACCCTGGCTAAACGACGAATACAGCACAGCATAAGTATATCTGCACCAAATGGAAGGGAATTAGCATTAGCGTGAGTGAGCCAAATGTAAAGAAACATGTGTTAAACACAAAGAATTTATGTCTCTACGCAACAAGACGGGCTAATTATCCAGTATATCAAATGCTAATTTAGAGGACAGCATTTAACATGCTACTTAGCTACTGCGAGTCTGCTCCCACATTCCACACACGCATTTAACCAAGAAAGATTATTAGGCTTTTCATAAAAAAAGATTATTAGGCTACTCAAAACTAATTTGGATAAACTTGCAACAATGAATAACTAAGCCAGCACATTGTTGGTATTTCTGAACGTATATAGAAATAATCCGTAAGCACACGGAATTACCGTTGTAGCATTTTATCCGGAAGTATTCAGGGTATCGTATTTCCACGAGGAACGGAGATGTAAGAGTCTCTTAAGCTAGTTCACCTAATGATAACAAGAAGAATGATAGCGGGGTTTTCTAAGAATAGATATTCTAAGCTAAGATAGTTTTGCCACTATAGACTTGCTTTGGGCACCGGATAACACTGGTCCGCCGAGCGTTGCCGGCCTACAGCTCTACGCCGTACTCGGACATGGGGGATTACAAGGGATGGACAGGGCTGTCACCACCTACCATCTACCCCTCAACCGTGGAGTATGAGGCAAACAAAGGTAGCCTCTAGCCTAGACACCACGTATATGCTATCGACTAGCACTCTAGTGTCGATCAGGGTTATCCATCTTTATCATGGCCCTCTACTAGAGTATTCGCCACAAGGACGAACGACAAACCTGTAAGTAAATAATGAACAAAGACTAACTTAAAGTAGGACTCACCACCGAAGATAAACACGAACCTTATACTCCAAATAGAATTCGGTTCGTAGAGGTACAAGTGGAGAGGAGCCGATGATTTCCGGCATTCCTTCCGCTAAGTGTACAAGGGGCCCCAAGTACACAAGTGGAGGTAGCCGACAACTCGGTACTTCCTTACTCTTACTCACTCACTACCTTAAACTAGAACTAACTAGAGAGCTAAGATATGAATGGAGCTCTTCTCTCTTCTTGCTACATTGTGTCTCCTTTTGTGTTGTGGTATGTTTTGAGAGGGGGGTTGCCCTCTATTTATATTGGGCTTGAGGCGGTGCTGGAGGCTATATTTGGCGCGAGCACCGGTCTTCACCGCCTCTGCATGCTCCCATGCCATTGCCAGACGAAGGAGTGGCATAAAGGCGCCAGTGGGGGGTCGGCTGCCCCCTGACCTGGCCCTCTTGCCACCGCCTTCGCGTGGTGGGCTATGGACCGGTCCTGGAGAGTAGCCACATGGGTGTTCGGCCCAAGTTTGCAAGGTAAGTGGGCCTTCCTTCTATTTGCTTGTGTAGAGTCTGCGTTTACGTTTTCCTGGTTGCGCACTTTGACTCTTTTTCCATGTATTTCAAGTGTATGTCCTGCAAATGCATAATTCACCAAAACTTGTGAAAAATGTTAATTCTAAAACCCTATGTCTAGGTTTGGTTTTTATTTGAGTGAATTTTATATGAATGTTGGCGGTTAAAAATGTGAGTTAAGGACCGCTAACACACATGCATCCAGAAAAATGTACCTTCACTGTAGTGACCGGAATTAACAAATAAGCCTCTCCCCTGCTCTCCTATTGCTGCTGTCGAACAAACCAAGAAGAAAATCTAAAAGCTTCTGTTGCTACTACCAAGTTATACATGGATGAAATAAATCTTGAACCGCAGCTACACAAGTAGGAATCTAGCTCAATCTGCGGCAATTAAGTCAAGATTCTGTTGCTTCTACCATTCTTGGATTGCTATTACCAAGCTACGCACAAATGAAATAGGTCCAGAGCGTCTGGATCTACAGAAGCGATACGGTGAGGTCACCAACGACCTTGCTCGCACGATGCCAGTCCGGCCCTGCATCATTGCATATATCGACAGAAGACAGAAAACAAATCTCTAAAAAAAAGACAAAGAATGGTAGAAGCTGGATCCAACCCCAACCCCAAGGCTAAGGCAAGTCGTCAGGTTGAAAAAACTGTGCAGGTCTTTTAGTAGTAAACCTGCATTTTGGACCCTCAATTTAATTACTCCTATGCCACCTTCTGTAATTAAGAAAACATCGTTCACGGGAGAAATGGACCCCCCCCCCAAGGAGATCAAGATACATGAACGGTTGTCCATTTTTTTCCATGTACTGTAAAATGAGTTATTACTGACCAGCATCTACCAGAGACTCTCAAGGGAAACAGACATTCTGTCCACACCCAGAAATATAAAACGATCTTGAAATACAAAAGATAGATCCTGTTGAAGAACAAAAAAGAGAAACATGTGCTAGCAGAGGGCCCTGCGCCACTCTACTTTTCAGTTCTCTTTCTTCATTTATCTTCATTGCTGTTTGTTATTGGACTTGTTGGCCTTTTCCATAGCGTCCTTGTCTTCCTGTGTTGCCTTGGACTGCCCAATGGCCTCCACAAGTTTGTTCTTTCTCGGCAAGCCTTCATCAGAAAGCGCTTCAGGTGCCAAATTCTTGATCACTTCACTGGAGAGGGCTGGTGGCTCACCAGCTCTTGGATCCTCATCTGTAAAGGCCACTTGCAGTGCTGCAGAAATTTCGAAGATAACATCAGTTAGCTAAGGTACTAATATGCTCCCAGTGAACATGGTTGCTCAACAACCATATGGACCAACAACTTGCCACCATGCAAGGACCACTATCTCAGAGATCTATGCATGCCAAGATAGGAAATGCCTTATATGTTTCCTGTTTCCATGCAGTAACTTATGTTTTGTGCAAGGCTGTTACAGTATGTAAAAAAACACTCAAACTATTGCTTTATGCATGAACATGACTGAATTAACTGCATGGAGTTTTTTGATTAAAAATAAACTATGAGTTCCCACCGAGTGCTATTGAAAACCTTGGCTGAGATATTTGCCATGCGACTTCCATCGTAACATTACTTTGCTCCATTATCTATCCCTAAGCAAGCTAAGATACTGTTATACGCTGCAGCCTACAACAATATTTCAAGGTAAGCAGTTGAATTATTTCAGATTAAATTCTCTACACTGAAATTTATCTGTTACATCAAGTTGTTCTTTTTGTCCCAGATTTCCTGGTGCTATGCTTTGTGGATTGCAAATATTAGTGGCTACAAAGACATTTTCTGATGGGATTTTCCATTGATAGTAGTACATTGTTCAGGTTTTCATGATAGCTTTTAAAATTAACGTGTAGCACCTGGTTTTAAGAACAAAACCAGATACACACCATATGTGAGCCCAGAAAGTTAAATCTCATATATAGCTATAAATAAGGGTAATATCGAAAGACAATGCTCAATATATAATGTACTTAGTATAAAGGATATAACCTTAGACAGCAAACAGCGGAAAGACAACTCCGATCTTCGGGTGAAGACTCCAATCCACAGGGACAATTAACTGGTTGATCACAAGCCTAACTCCTCCAGACTAGCAATCTGGTACCCATCCGGGATTTTTATCCAAATAATTGAAAAATAAAGCAAGCGTAAGTACATGTCATACTCAACAAATATAACATGGGATTCATGAGACTCAAAAGGCTAATACTAGTTTAACTGCGATTAGCTTTTAATGAGTCATCTTTTATCAATTAGGTGGCAACAAGTTTATTCACAAGCCCATATAAACACATGATCATGTAAACATGAATAATGAATAACATAAACAGTAATCATTAGTGAGCATCTTTATCATCAGTATCATCAGTGTTCATCATCTATTTCGTAAGGGTTCCAAGGCAACTCATGACCGTGAGCACGACTGATATACCAATTTTACACTCTGCAGAGGTTGTACACTTTCACTGTGAGTCGTGATTTACCCTTTCGCCCGAGATGATCAATCTCTTGATCCACTACCAAGAAAGATCGGCAGGGTTCACTATGAAGCCTTTCAAAGGTTCGTCTAACAAGTTAGGACCATTAAATTCACTCGACAAAAAGATATATGAACCCCCTGTCGAATGACACAATTCCATCACGGCTATACACATAAGAGTAGAGGTTGTCCTATACCCGATTCGACAAGCCATTTTTACGCCAATAAAGATAACCACTAACAAGCTAGAAAAGGTCATCATACTAAGCTAAAGCCAAAGCCATATAGCCCTCACAGTTGTACTATAAGTCCCAGATGATCACTTACAGATAAGTCCTTAGGGAGAGGAATCTAGAGCACCATAAAAACAGCCCAATGCTCTAGCCCCCTTGTTCCATGTTGCTAAAAAACATCTTTTAATATTTATTGCATATACCATTAGCCAAGTTACAAGATCATGATTTCAGTTGAGCACTAGCATCATACTACCCAATGCAATACCCTAAAGATATCAAGGCACAAGGTACAAAGTACTAGAAAATCCTTAGTGGTAGTCAAGGTAGACACATACAATATGAATTAAATGATATTAAGGTGAATAGGACAACAAGGAAGATCCCATGTTATACTTGCCTTAAACTTATATCCTTCTTCTAGTTCAAACATTCAAAGGAACTCCTTGATCAACACGTAAAGCTCACCGACTGGACATGATCATAAAGCACCACACAAGCATCCATGCAATCATACAGAAGCAAACAATAGATCTAAATCAAAACAGTACACCAAACATATGAAACAGCAAGTAAAAAGGTTTTAAAGATGTTCTACACATCGCTACGAACACACAGACACGAAAAATACGCTAATCGGAACTATGGTTGTAAAGAAATGACTATAGGGTTTTATATTATAAAAGAAAAGACAAGACTTGATTTATGTTAATTAGGAAAACATATGTGAGTAGCATTCATTTAGATTAAACAAATCATATTTATACTTAAAAACTTAGTTGAAGCTAATCATATTTTATTTATAAATATTTTGATATCATTTATGCCAATTCAGCTTTAACTTGCAAATACAAACTGTCATGTGAGAACATCTAAACAAATTTGATGTGTGTTTAGAATAAACATATTATAATTTAGAAACATATTTATGTTAGCAACTAATCATATTTAAACTTATTTGCAAAAGAACATTGTATATAAATATGTTGCTTTTATTTATAAAAACTAATTGCATGCATATTAATCAAATTAATATTTAAGCATATATATAAAAAGTCACTTGACATGAAAAACGACGACACTAGGATGTAGATCACATCGATATGAATCTAATGCAATTGGAACAACTCAAACAGAACTTAAAATGAATATACGACGACGATATTACGAACTGGTTGTAATTTCGTAATTACCTCGTCTTCATCCGTTGGCCTCCCATGCAACCACCACACGGCCATGGCAACAGCAGCTGGGCAGGGGTGGGCTCGACTTGTTGCAGGAAGGAGAGGATGGCCGAGCTGGGCAGCGCGGCGGCAACGGCGACGGCGAGAGAAGAATGAGAAAAATCTAATTTACTACACGAGGGATTTCCCAAACTAGGGGCTCCCTTTACGGTAGTTTTTGCTATGCTTTGTCCAAGGGGTTGATACATATTTATTGGGAGAAAAACTCCCCATATCTACATCAACTAGCAATATGATACTAATTGATGTTGCACCCTCCATATTTACTAATGGGCCTAAATAATCATTAAAGACCATTAATAAATAAATACATGGGCCTTTAAGATTTATTAGGATTATTGCACATGGGCTTTGAGTGTTGGAAAAAATGAGAGATTTATTATTTTTGGAATTAATTAATTTCGTGGATAAAATAATTCTAGAAAAGTCTAGAATTATTATTTAAGCCGCGAAAAATACTCCGAAAGCTCTAAAAATTCAGGAAAAATCCCAAAGACATTATGGAACATGAGAAACCCAAATAAAGTATTTGGAGCCCATGATAAGATAATTTGGAGAACCTAAAAATTAAATTATGCTCACAGACAAGTAGGAACAAGTTCTAGAAAAAGCTGGAAAAATTCTCGAGAAGTTTGTAGAGATTGATTGATGAACGAGGAACTAAAAGGAGTGATTTGCATTACAAAGAAAAGATTTTAGGAAGCTCCCAAAAAAAACTTGATCCGAGAAACAAAGAATTTGATTATAGAAAAAGATAAAGGAATGCCAGAGAAGGAAAATTGACCTACTAATGTATTTTAAAGGCTTTGCTCACTCTCAACACACAAAGAAGCAACAAGCAAACATCACATATCCAAACACCCGTCAAAATTAGAAAACTTTGAAAATTCACATTTTTTCTATAACTAAATTTGCGTTAGCTCAAACTAAACTTGGTAAATTTTATCCAAATATTAAAATAATTCTTTTTTTTAATGTTTTCTATGCACAACCCAAAATCAGAAATTTTGGGGTGTGACATAACGGGCAATTCCCTATTCCAGACTAGCTGTGTGTGTGCGCCCATCACTCTTCTACATTGCCTGAGGTTGGCTGTTTATAAGAAAGTATAAGTTCTTCTGAAAAATCAATAAGCGTGTCACTATTCTGCATTAGCTTCAGACCAACCCAACCTGAGGCTTATTGAAAACGAAATGCTACAGTATTAAGGCATAATATACACTATTCAGATTCACAATGTAGCTAGGTTTGCTTTTCTTCTGTGGACAGGGAGCCACTTCACAGTATCACAGATTCAAATTGTACCTTAGGCACATAACAATTTAGTTGTATATAGGTTGTTAGATTAAAAAATGAAAATGCATTTTGGAGCTAGCTTGCCCCTGATCTCAGCTATGGTTGTTAACAGAGCAAGACCAGTGTCCTAGCCGTTAGACAATGGATCTAACATCATCAACATTAGGTTCAATTGTAAACAAACTGGAAATCTTTGGCTTGAACTATCGAAACATATACATCACATTTTATCGAGTTAAAAAAATGTATATACTTAAGCTTTGTGAATAACAATCTGACTGAAAGAAATGCACATTTCAATAAAAGTATTTGCACCTTTTGGGATAGCTATCTGATATCAATAGTGTTATATTTAACTGATAAGTTTCAGTTTCACACTGGTGCTATTTCCCAATAATGAAACTTGCAGATAAAAATGGAGCTCCCAGTGCACACTAATATTCAAACATGGACGTGCCACATGATTCTCGGAAAAATATTTGTTAGGATTAGCTGTTTGAAATGATTTTAGATGAACAATCATGCGCATGTTTTTCTGATTTAAGCGCCATTCTTAAAAGATAGGATATTATTGACAATCTCTGGATCACGGGATTTGTCATGATATACACAACATTCTCATTCCCATGTCTGTGCAAAAAATTCAAATTTGTTCACCGGAATGATGACCAACTGTAGATATTCAAAACCTTACAACTTGTGGTGATTGATCGTTATATGCAGGGACAAAAGATCAGCGCCGTTACCCGTGTGACAATTATTACCAAGACAGCAAAACAGGTTCACATTCAGCAGCTTACATGTTATTCTGTAGGTGTAAGGAACTCATTTCTTAAGTAGAATTGAAACTAATATAGTAATAGATTTGAAAATAATAGACTAACAGAGTAATACATGAGAAGTGTGAACCTGCTTAAAATAGCACAAAAGCTGCATTGTGATTTCTGATTTCAATTAAATCATTTATATATGACAAGTGGACCTTTTCCTTACCTTTTATTCCAACTTCCCCACTGAACTTCAGTGCACATTTCATTTATTCTCTTATTAAATTTGAAAAATAATGAATGGTAATTGCGCGTTGGCTAATTGGGAATTCCATATAGTTGACAAATCTGAATGTAATGCTAATGCTTCTCGATGGGAGGAAAAAGAGCTTTTCATGTGCAGATAGCCAGTGAAAATTCATAGCTATCTTCAACAACTAACAAGCGTTAAATGTCCATATCTACCCAGTAGGAAGAAAGGGCATCCGACACCATAACCCTCCTGGCAATTCCGCACAACCCTCCCTCGCTCGCTCGCTTGGTTTCATTCGTACGTGCCCCGCCCCATCCACATCTGGTTGTCGCTCTTGGTCCACCTAGCCACTCCCCTACCGAGACTGATGTACCGCGGCAACAGCCCACGGCCCCAGGAGGTGGCAAATGCAGCTGCAACAACGGCGGTCCGGTTCGGCACGTCCACCACCTCCGACCTAACCATCTCTGTCCACCAACGAGGACATGCCGGCAGCCGCTGCCAACCTCCTAAGGTAGGCCTGCCCCTCAGCAAATCCTCAGATCTGAGTCCATTGTGGCCTCTGCGTCCCTCGTGGGCACCTCTAATTTCCCCCAACTCCTCAGATCTATGCATCCCTCGTCGGTACCCCTAATTTCCTCCAGCTGCTCTGCGATTTCATAAGGCTACTACCAACAGGGCGACGACGCGTATGACGGCTCCTACCCTGATGAGATATGATGCTGCCTGTCCACTCGCCATCGCATTTGGCCTGATACTGGGCGAAGACAATCCTTAGCTTCCTCATCCTCTTCTCCATTGTGCCCCACAGCAAGGTAGGTGCACTGCACATGCGCATCCATCAACTCTATTAAGAATTATAAAAGGGATAAAAATTTACATGTCTCCAATACTATAAGTAAGTTAAATGTTCTACAATCAAAAATATGCAATGTGACAGTTTTTCATTACCGTTTTATTACTACTGTTTAATTCCAAAAAAGAAGTTGAAACATCGATTCAATGGGGAATGTGTCTCCCACTCATTTAGTTTAGCTGTGCTATATATGTGTGTCCTGTAAAGGCACTAACTGTTATCTCTTTACATTGTATTTATTGTGCTTTCAGTATAGTTCCTATGAGGTATGGAGCTGATAAGGAGATACTGAAATTTGGTCGTCCAAATATGACAATTCAACATCTATAGAAAATTGGTTAGCAGCAAACTCAAATACAGCACTCTATTTTTTTATTTTTGGGTATGCAGTGTCCTGCCTCGTGTGCCATTTTGGTATGGTTTGATTGCTTGTTTCCCTGCTCCCCTACCGAGACAGATGTACCGCGGCGGCAGCCCACGGCCCCAGGAGGCGGCAAATGCAGCTGCAACAACGGCGGTCCACTTCAGCGCCTCCACCACCTCCGACCTAACCATCTCCATCCACCACCGAGGACACGCCGGCCGCCGCTACCAACCTCCTAATGTAGGCCTGCCCCTCAGCAAATCCTCAGATCTGAGGCCATCGTGGCCTCTGCGTCCCTCGTGGGCACCCCTAATTTCGCCCAACTCCCTCAAGATTTGTGCATCCCTCGTCGGTACCCCTAATTTCCTCCAACTGCTCTGTGATTTCAGAAGGTGAGATGCCCGTGGGGCTAGTGCCTTGTGATGAGCGATTGACAACACGGTGTGCGTGTGACGTGTCTCTTGGCAGGCTGTGGTTGCAGGTGACAGGTGGAGACTAATCATGCGGTGATCTATAAAGAACGGGGATAGGATGACATGCTGATGAACCGCGGGGCGGTGAAGGGTGGTTCGACGCTCGCGTTCGAGGGAAGGAGATTGTGCGGTGTACGTCTACTGTATCTGGCTACACGGAGGGAGGACGTCGGTGGACGGTTTCTTGGTTGAGCCACAAAACCAAGGACGTACCGGGACGCTCGTGCGGCGGGCGTGGCCGGAGATGGAAATTTCCGGCGATCGTGATATGATTTCGGATGGTCGTGCGGCGACATCGTGAGGATCACATCGCGGAGATGGAGGGATCACGAACATCGCGGAATTTGCCATGGAGGACGTGATTTATTGGATATGTTTATCGTGTCATTACGTGTCGTTTACGTCGCATAATGACAGTCTTGTAATTTAGGTGGGCCACCTTTTGGAGATATAAATATGTGGCACCTAGAGTTGAGAGGCGGCTGGGCTTTTGGGATTTTTGGTGCGATTTACTGTTCACGGGAACAGTGCCCATGCCTAGGGTTCCAGGGAACACACCTTCTCTCTCGATCTAGCCTAGGTCTTCAAGTCTAGAGAGAGATTTTTATTGATTTCTCCAATCAAGAGAGGGAGGACGATCGGACGGAGGCTAGATGCATTTTTGTAGAACAATTACTGGAGTTAATCATTCATCTTGGTGAATTGTTCCTTTTTGTTTGCATCTACTTTTCCTACCGTCCGCCGCCAGGGTAGTTGTGTTTGCTTTTGGTTCTGCGTTTTGCACTGTTCTAGATTGTCACCTGGGGGTCTCAGTTCCGCCGTCGCCAGGGATCTCCCGCGCGCCGTCGCGGAGTCCAGTTTCTGCCGTCCGCTAGGTGTTGTTGCCGTTCCCTGCTGCTGCTGGTCGAGCACGCCAGGACGGGAGTTCAGCACCTGCTATTTGCCGGCCACCAGCAAGCTGCTGTCAGGGTCAAGCCATTGGCAACAGCTGCTCCATTCTCAACATCTTGGCTTCCGGTTAAATCCATACGTTTGCCTATTAACCTGTTTAATCGTTCCTAAGATTATTACACCACTAGTTGGGGTCAGTAATCTTGACGATTGATTGAGAGGGGCGTTGGACATAGGCCGAGTTTCTTATTGAAGAAACTTTTATCGGCTCCCATTCACCCCCCCTCTGGTCGCCTGTTCTGGTCCTTCAGAAGGCTGCTACCAACAGGGCGACGACGCCTACGACTACTCCTACCCTGATGAGAGGCTGCCTGTCCACTCGCCATCGCATTTGGGCTGGTACTGGGCAAAGACAATCCTCAGCTTCCTCATCCTATTCTCCATTGTGCCCCACAGCAAGGCAGGTGCACTGCACATGCACATCCATCAACTCTATGAAGAAGTATAAAAGGGAAAAAATTACATGATCTGCAATATTAGAAGTAAATTTAATGTTCTGCAATCAGAAATATGCAATTTGACAGTTTTTCATTACCGTTTTATAACTACTGTTTAATTCCAAAAAAGAAGTTGAAACATCGATTCAATGGGGAATGTGTCTCCCACTCATTTAGTTTAGCTGTGCTATATATGTGTGTCCTGTAAGGCACTAACTGTTACCTCTTTACATTGTATTTATTGTGCTTTTGGTATAGTTCCTATGAGGTATGGAGATGATAAGGAGATACTGAAATTTGGTCTTCCAAATATGATAATTCAACATCTAGAGAAAATTGGTTAGCAGCGAACTCAAATACAGCCCTCTATTTTTTTTTGGGCATGCAGTGTCCTGCCTCGTGTGCCATTTTGGTATGGTTTGATTACTTGGTTCCCTGCTCCTTAGTTGAGCTTATATTAATTTGTTTTCATATTGCCAGAGATGAGAGCTTGGGAAAATCAGTGTAGTTGGCTGGTTGCAACTCAAAGTTATGGGAGGAACTTGTGCTATTACAGAAGCCTTTAGTAGTTGAAAACTACCACCAGTCTGGCACTTCCCATGTCGATTCCCCCCATCCTTACTGTTGGAAATAATCCTGTGTGTCTAGGTGTATGCTAGTGTCTAGGTTCATAGCCTTAACTTTAGTTTAATTTCAGCATAGGGTAATAGGACTATTGGACTAATAGGCTGAATAAGTGTGCAATATTCTGCATTAATTAATATCACAGCTTGATTTGTTCATGGCTGGCTATATGAGTAGAAGAGAAAAACAGAAAAGGCTAAATCATTTTAAGCCACCAAACCCACTGTGTTCATGTGTGTTCTTGTGTGTGAGTTGATGGGTGTCCTGTTGAAGGCTATCTTCTTACACTTGCAACCGCCCTTTTTTCATAGCTGTACATATTTATTTTTTATTGTTTTGATGGTCCCACTTTTAAACTTTGCCAAACAATGATGTGTTTTAGATCAGCTAAATAAAGAGCATTTTTTTTGGACATTTGAATAATGTTAATGATAAATAATTCAGAATATATCCATTCAATATTTCAAAAACTTGCTGCTAGATCATTTAGGCACAGCATGCAAAAAAAAAAACTTCTGTAAAATATAGTGTAGTACAACATGGCCATTTGGGTTCAGTATACCTACAAAAAGTTAGTGAAAAAACTAAATTGGAAGCTTGACAAGTAAATTATACTTGGTTGAGTGCCATTGCTATTTTACTTCGTCAATCTTTTTTTTGTTCACTTATTGATTGCTCCCAATAGGGATTTTGCAACCAATCTAGCAGAATAGACACATGGTTATGTTGGGTTCAAGGGGGTTTCTAGATGCCGCAGCACCAGCCCTCTCCGGACGGGAACAAAGTAAAGTAAGCCAGCAGGGCATTCAGGCATGCAGCATGTGAAATTCTATCAAGCTAATGTGTGCTTTTTAGGGGTATTATTATTTGCGTCCACAAACACACACCATGGATTATTAGTTCCATGACGCACAAGCACATTTTTAATCACCTTTCCCGCTGTATCATATCGTTTCAACGCGAGCTACTTATTACCCTTGCCAGTTCAGTAGTGCTGTTTGACCATCCTAGCTAATGGCACTGAGAGGTAGTACTTCGTAATCACTCCTAAGCTATTTCAAGTCCCAGTGAACTGAATGAGTTTGTGATGAACTGAAAATGCATGCAAGAAAATTTTTATCTCCGGATGGCAGATGACCAATGATAGATGTAGTAGCTGGTGTTCCATTGGATCCCCTATTCCCTTCCTCTACTTGGACAGTTCTTGTTGGGACCCCAAAAAATCTACTGGACCATAGATCCGGGGACGATCTCTTCCTTTAGGGCTTCTCCACTCGCCCTGGGACAGTAGCATCGTAGCGGGTAGACGCCGCTGTAACGGTGTAGAAGACGTCGGTGGTGCTGCAGTGGAACGGTGGAACCCTGCAGGCGCGACGGTGAGCTTGGTGGTGCACATCCCGTCGCTGGCAGCACTTCTTTAGGATCGGATTAGGGTTTTCTGTAGGTGGGTGGCGGCTCCGTTCAACCTCGTGACCCGAGCCCAGTTCCCCACTCCTCTATATATATGTGCTGTGCAACAGGGGCCCACCAACCAGTTAGGGTTGGGCTCCCCCGATCAGGGAGCAGAGGCAAGGGCCCAATAGGCCGTTGGGCCTATTGGTGGAGATCAACTAACATTTTCCCCCTTGATCTCATTCCATCTTTCAATTTCATATCATTTACTTTTATTCATTCCATTACAGATTAGCGCATAGAGCATGTCTCATCGTCACGGTCCATTGCCGATAGACTTAACAACTACAACACACTACTCTGTTCTGAAATAGATACTTATCTTTGGGCCTTCTTTTGTCCAGGAATTTTAGGCTTTCCCTTAAACCCAAGCTAGCTACATGTTCTCTGAATACCATGTTCTCTGAACATGTTGGGTGGTAAGCCTTTTGTAAGCGGATACGCAAGCATTCTTTCTATACTTATATGCTCAAGACTTATGACTTGATCCCGGACTTTATCTTTCACAACATAATACTCTATGTCAATGTGTTTGGCAGCACCACCTGACTTATGTTGTGAGCATACTGTACTGCCAGATTATAATCGCAGTATAACTTAAGTGGTCTATAGATGTCATCAACCACCTTTAAACTAGGTATG